TCATCAATTTAAACAGGAGAATCCAGTGACATAAAACTTGCCTGTAGGCTAAAGATTTATTCAATTAGACTCAACTGAGACTTTATGATAATCAAATAGAAGAATCTAGTGACACAAAACTTGCCTGTGGGCTAAAGTTTTGTTCAATTAGAATCAACTAAAACTTTATGATAAAATTATTATCAAAGGGGATAGAAGAATCGAGTGACATAAAACTTGCCTGTGGGCTAAAATTTTATTCAATTAGATCCATCTACAACTTTATGATAAAACTATCAAACCATGTTCCTTTTCTTAATCCCTGTGGGTAAATTAAGAAATATGATTTGATATTTTATTCTGACTATTTACATTAATATAATAAAATTCCTGTGGGTAGATTTTATTATATTTTTTGTAATTAGTCACAAAGTGATCAAAAACTTAATAATTTCAGTTATGAAATTGTATTGATCACTTGATATATGTACACAAAAGAATATTAATGTACCAAGCTATTAATCCAAATTTCATTCATGCATAATAAATACACATAAAAGAAACTAGACTAATACCACAAATGTACACATAAAAATATTTTTGAATATGTACATATACCATAACTTTATGATAGAAAATGCCAATTTATTTATATTATAACTATATGTTAAATAAATTGACCTTCCTATCTGTAATGATAAAACTCACCGAAACTATATTCCGATGCATAATTGCCTGTGGGCTAAATTATGATCGTAGTTTGATGTCTTTACCCCAATTAATTATATAAACATAACAAAATTGCCTGTGGGCTAAATTTTATTATATCATATAATTAATCACAATCAATACGTCTATAACTGTATATGATCTCACAAAATTTCAATTAATCGAAGATACTGTGGCTACTACTTAATTAATCAAAATTATAAGATCACTAGACGATTTTCTTAATATCTTAGGCATCAACTTTAAAGCCTAAAAACAATTATGCCGCAATATGATAAACAATTCCAAGTGTACTCCCAGGAAAGTTGGTTGGGACTAAGCCTCATTAAAAATAACCAACTCCTTAGTCAGAGTAATGTTTCAAGGGAACTAGTAGCACATTGGCCCCTTCCCGAGAAACTTTTCACCGGTTCATGTTTTCTCACACTAAAGGCATAATTGACGAGTACTCTTTTCCAAATCTTTAATAGTTCACATATGAAAAGATTTGATCTTAGGTGAACATTTTAGACGGTCTAAAGGTGCTTAAACATAATGCACTACCGTATATAATTCCATACACAAAGTTCACCCTAACAAGGAATTATTATAATTCCTAACTTATGCAATTCCAAAGGCATAATTAAATTCACATAACTAGAAAATATAATGTTATGCTAGTGAACAATTATATGTGAAATTCAATATGCTCATATCCAAATAAATTGTACATAATAGCAATTTAAAAAGAGCTATAAAATTATTATTCAAATAACAACATGAATCCAAAACTTGAAGGATTTATAAAATTTGAATAATAATTTAAAATAACCATATACTTTTCAATTATTGAAAAGTTTTAACTTGTAGGCCCAAAAATGATTCAATGCATTAACTTTATGAGAACTAGCTTTAAAATTGTAAATTCTAACCATATCAAAACCATATGATATGTTGACATTCACAAATTAAATTCTCATAAAACTAAATTGCATAATTTAAACCATAATATTATGCATTTCATTTAATTATATGCATAAAGCAAACTCAAAATATGAATATAAAATCAAATATTCATACTCAATCAAAGTGGGCATCACAATCCAAAAATCCAAAAATAATAATAATGATAACAATGTTACGACATATTGATTCCTCAGTTCAAAACTGATAATCGTTATTACTATAATTATTACATAACGGTAATAATGGAATAATCAATTTTCTTAATCGTAACCGAACAACATTTAGTATTAATAATAATTATTATTATTAAATGTCACATTATATCATCATTATTACCATAAATGTTTTGGATAAGCAAATTCATTAAGAATCTCAAAATATAATTCTTAACATCATTATTGAAATTATCATGACAAAACTGAAAAGGAAAACAATATCCAATTGCCATAAACATATGCATTTTCCAAAATTGTGATTCAAAATCACACTCCATAATTAAAAATATTACTATTGAATTATGGCAAAGTTGCAAAATTCTGAAATTGCAATGAATAACCATAATAATCATATAATATTATAACAATTAGGAGATTTAATATGGAAAAACAATTGCTAATCACCACAAACCTTTTAAAATATTTTTCGGAAAAACTTTAAAACTTAATAAAATTAAAATCCGAAAACATTAATGTTGAAAAAATAATATCCAACATTTTCAACTTTAATAAACTGATATAAAGGCATAAAAAGTGGTTCTTGACTAAAACTTTATGACCTTACTAATTACCATAATAATGACTGTAAATGCAAACGATTGCAACAATCGCCAAACATCTCAATATATCATCTAATCATGGCAATTAGTCACAAAGTATAGCAATTCATCTTTATTACAAATAATATATCAATACATGATTACAACATATTAGCATTATGCTAATAGTTGTGGATCCCTACTTTATTGACCCAAGATAAGTCCCAAATAGCTTGTTCAAAATAGGTTTAAAAGTCCCAAAGTGAATATAGGACTAAAATATGCTCAAAATTGAATGAGAAACCAAACAAGCTGTCTTAATAGGCTATAATATCCAAAATTAGCCTGAGGATCCAAAAAAGAATAAAATCGAATATAAAAATTATGAATTAATAATATGCTATATCCAATCTTAATATGCTTTTCTAAATGTACAATTATAACAAAATAATTTATGAATATACAAAGCATGCTTGGATTTTGCAATATTAACTCATAAATCATAAATAAATTGTAAACACTTCAGCAATTTAATATGATTCTCAATATTAAATTAAAATTCAAATAGCAAATTTAAAACTTAATATTTGTCCATAATTGAATAATAATTTAATTATGAATTTTAATGTCAAAATTAAGAGGAAATTAAAGGCCATTAAAATTCCAAAAATTAGCAATTACTATATATTTACCATTTGCCAAAATAATATACATGCAATATTAAATTAAATATGGTAATATTTTCAAAAAAAAAAATTAAATATGGTAATATTAATCCTGATATAATTACCATACTAAAATTAATATGCAATTATTAAATAAGCAAATAAATATATGGTAAATAAAAGGTAAATTGCACTGTAAAATAGGAGAGGTACCAGTCAAACCATCCGTCTTCTTCAATTCCTTAAGCAGCCAATGGAACAAACTCAGCGCCGCCCGGAGCTTGTGGAGCAGCGTTCGGAGCCATCAATCCAGCCGTCCGTCTTCTGCCAACGCATCGCCGGAAAACCAGCGCCACTGCCGACGGAGAAGCAGGCCGCCGTCGTCTTCATCGCGATGCCACCGTCGCCTGCGTCTTCTCCAAATCGCGATGCCACCGTCGCCTGATCTCGACAGTAGCCGACCGCTACCCCATGGTGGTGTCCTCCCAGTGACAAGGCTCAAGGCGGAGAACCAAGGCCACAGCCCCACCGTCAGCAGCACCCCTCGTCGGATTCGTCACCACCGTGCCTCGCTCCAACGCCAAAAACGCCTGCCGCCGGCGACCCCAAGACGCGACGCCAACAACAACGCCCGCCGTTGCCCACGTAAAGCTCGCCGTCGTTCTTTAGGGAAAACGACGCAAATCAACCGGAGGGAATCCTTCGTCCCTCAGTCGAGACACGCCTCAACGTTCACCGTCCGCGACTCAATTCTCGGAAAAGGAAACGCAAAAACCGGTCAAAAACCGTAATGGTAAGTTGTAAATATTACAACAGATTATTTCAACAGATCAGGTTTATTATTTATGCAATTTGATTGTATATTTAATGTTTTTTAAAAGGTTCCTGCATAATTTTCATGTACAAATATCCACATATATATAAAGTTGAATCATGGAGACATGTATGCCCAGAACAATCATATTCAAATTGCATACACATTCAAACTAATCCAATATGTACGGCAGTCGTGATCCAACGATGTCCTCTAACGGTGCCACTTGGACGGCAGTCGTGATCCAACGATAACATATAATGACAGTACATAAAACAATGAAGCAAAATTCCCACAAAGGTAATAGCATTTTATATATTTTCCAAAATAATATATACATCAAATATTACCTTCTCAAACAAAATGTCATGTTATCAACCTAACTTGCATACAATTACAGGAATATATACATATGTACTTCTGCATCATAAATATATCATTCCAACTGATATTCATACTGCAAACATATTCTCGGGGGAAAAAAAGAAACAGCAGTAAAACATATATATTGCATAATATATAATTCAAATATATATCATATGCAAATTTATCAACTAGGCAGAGATTAAATAGGCTGTGATACCAAATGTTAGAGTATACACACAATTCGAACACATGTGATAACCTAACCTCATAGCGGAAGCATAATGATCTAGCAAAACTCCAGCCATAGTTGATACTTTGTTGCATTGCATTGTTGCTTCAAGAACTCCAATAGATTAAAGTTTTGTTGTCTACCATTAATCTTCTGTATGAACTAGATGGTGTAGTTGTAAAGCTGCAACAGGAGCAATGGGAGGACCATGCTTAAATAGCCTACATGCCATCATTATAGGCTAAGTAACGGAAACCGTTACTTCATTTTCAAACCACAACATAATGGCCATAATTGGCCTATTAAACTTGCACCACTTAATAGTGTAATTATAATGAAAATGTTAACAGTATTGAGAATGGCAAAATTGAAAGCAATATAATAAATAAAAAAAAAATGAACGTACATAAGAAAAATGTGAGTAAAATCCACTATAGCTTTTAGTGCCCTAGTATTCCTGAACATTACTGCAAAATACACATACATAAGTAAAATGTAAAACAGCAATCACTCAAACTATGAGCCCCTGGAGTGTGAGATTTATTTAATCTTTTCTTCTTTAATTTCTTTTTTGTTTTTGTTTTTTGTAGTCATCACTTGCATTTTAAAGTGATAATGTTGTTACATAAATATTATACACTCTTAAATTTACGGGAAAGCCCACAGGCTACTGCCAAAGATGTGCTTTAAGTGAAGCTCGGCTTGTGACCCGACTACAATGAAGTAAACGAGCTTAGACTGCACATAACTGACCGGTCCAAATATTCTACACTCAAGATCTACATAACTTGATATCTTCAACTATCGTTCCCGCATCTTTGCCCTGGCAAAAAACACTCCTGCCAAGAGGCCTGCAAAACCGAAGCCATGTTTCGAATTAAATTTACAGCCCGAGAATGTACAAAACTAGCTAGGTCGACAATGGCGAGAAGGAAGAGGAGGAACTGACCAAAGAAAATACTAGTTGCGTTCTCCAGGCTTGTGGGTACTTTGAATAGAAGGATGCCGGTCACAGATAATGGTATCTTGTTTAGCGATCCCACGAGGCTGCACAATGCAAAGAACAAAACAGCCAGCATGTTAAAGATAAACCAAGTAACTCGAGCTGTGTCTGCATTCATGACAAACTGAATCTAAACCAATCTACTCGAACGGCTCACATTTGCCCCACTGGCATCTTATTGGCAAATTATATTGTGTATCATGATTCACATTACAATATAGGGCAGTTGGTTACCTGTATGTAGTAGCACCTGTTTGGTGAAGAAACCACATAGACGTAAAGCTAATTGCTAAGCCCAAAAATCCACTTAAAGTTATCACCAGCCAAAACATGGGTAACTGTAAGAGTGGTCTGTCATCAAGATACAAGAATAGACATCGAATTTTATTCACCTAACCGTAGCAGCAGCTTTAGTCGCTCGAGCATAGAATTATAGAGAGCTAGTAATATAATGCTACATTGAATAAGGTAAGTTGAAAAGCATTTGAACAAAACTTACGTAGTAGCAAGATAATCCACTTCATTGAACAAAAAGACGAGCACAATGCCTAACGGCAGTGATAGCGTGTTATTCAGCAGGACCATTGAGAACTCATCAAGGTTTCCCGATTTTGTGACTTGCTTGGCGGTATCCATGATCCTACGCAGAGTTAACTGCACCATGAGAACCCATTATGACTAGAATATTTATTGTACGTTTTCCATAGTTTAATGCAAAGTGCTTGCATACAAGGAAAAGAATAAGCAAGACTGCAAGAGATCGGGTAGAAATGTTTGACAATTTAGATCCTATATGTTTAAAAGAAGCACGAGAAGAATAGCCCCGGAAAGGCTTAGCATGAGCAAGAAGGCACTGAAAAGACACAAACTAAGAGTAACACTCACAGAGTATGATGCCGTCAAGAAACAATTAATAATCTGCCATGTATAGCCAATGACATTAAAAGAAAGATCAGTAATTCCTCCAGAGATTGCTGAAATTACCTGCATAACACCAACCCACAAAGTCAAACTTATTTAAGAACATGTACATATATTGACAAATTAAAACTTAACCCCAATGCATGCATCTGTTATATGAAAGATAAACACAGCAAATTGTGAAAATAATCAAGAGTGGTGGCGGTGGCCGGTGGAGGTTTTTTACACCCTACCTCTTAGGAGCTTAAATACAATATAAAATAGCCCAGTGTTGCAAAAATCGCGCCTAGGCGCCGATTAATCGGCGCTAGGCGGTCGGCCTCCTAGGCGCTCTAGGCGCCCTAGGCGGTCCCCAGGCGCCTAGAGGGCGCCTAGCGATTTTTTCAACATTGCAATAGCCTACTATTTCTAAAATTGTAATAAAGGAGAAACGACCATTCTGCCAAAGTATCGATTAACTAAATACAGATGACATGACTCTCTAGAGGTTTATTATCAGAAAATAAGTAAATACAAAAATGACCAATACTAGAACCGTTACCAATCTCGCCTCCAGCCTACCATTGGTTTTTTTTTTTTTTTTTTTTCCTGCAATCCTTCAGTCATCATAAATTTTTATTTTTAAATAAAAGTACATAAATATGGAGGAAAATCTAATTCAGAGCATACCATTAAGAAAAGAGCAGCCCAAACTCTGCTATCATGGTGTTTCTTAAAAAGATACATTTCACCAACAGCAGTAATCACATTAGTAACATTCTTCAGGACGGTGACCATGGCAACATTAATGTATTTCAGACTGCAGGAAACACATGTATGAGCAGCATTATCGAATTGAATATATAAAGCATGCGAGTGAGATTTTAAGAATTTGGTGTTTTGTCCTTCTTAATATAAAAGTTGCAACAGACATAAAAGTGTTAGAACTTAGTACCTAAACATACTTGTGATAAGCATCCCAACAAAGATAAAATTAACAGGTAGCCAGACTTTAATTAGCTTCCATGTCAGCGGCTCTGTGGATATTATGCCAACGAAGTTCAAAATAGAAACTAACACCACTGAGACAAAATTCTACACCACAGAAAACAATAAAGGATTTGTCATACATATGATATATATACTTATATTTTCTCTTCGTTCTTTTTTGGGTGAATAAATATGAATGAGACTGTATTAAGGAGATTAGATCGGACCTGGTAGACCATCAATGATATCCCTGCATTAAAGTCATAGCTGGACAAAACATACTTATTAATCAATATCATGCTGCATGAAGAAATACAATATGATAGCCCGGATAGTAAGGCCTTATTCTGTAGTGATCTTTCTCTGTCTTTCTCCAACTTGCCACTTTCCAAATCATCATCACTTTTACTATGAGCCTTCATGGCAAAAGATAATCTACAAGATAGAACAACTAATAGAATCAACAACAATTTTTATTTATTTATTTTTGTAGCTAGAATGGCATCATTATGTCCACCCTAAATTCATTGAAAAAGGAAAGATGCTTCAAACAGTTAATGATGTATCTCAAGTATCATAATTAATAGCCACATCAAGGATAACGCGGCCTGCATCTGACACTGGTTCAAGAGAAAAGCATCCATTATTTTACCATTTTACTTAAAATCATTCAGGATTCTGGAATTACAGAAAATATTTACTCTATTTGTTACAACTCAAAAAGCATTTTATGGATTATGTTCACAAAATGGAGTAATACAAGTTTAAAAAGAAAAGAAAAGACTAAATTTTGCATTAAAACAGAAGACATTTTTTGGATAAGCATCCTTTGGGACCTAGAAGTTTTACAACTTCAGATTTCAGCATCAATACTTAATTCTAACAAACTTTCCTATTATAAATCACAAATGATTTTTTGCAACTGATTGAAAAGGAAATTTTAAAAAAAAAAAAAACACGTTCATATGAAAGAAAATTATAAATAATAAGTATCAATAGAAGGCAATGAAAGTTTGTAATGGTATATTAAAATTTAGAGATTTAATGACTTATGTAAACTTTTTAAAATAAAAAGTCATTAGAAGTCTATAAATGTTTGTGATATAAGACTTTTATAGACTCGTACAAAATTTACAAAAGTTTGAAGAAATTCTATAAGAATCATTTAAAATCTATTTGTTTAGAGTCCCGCATCAAAAAATAAGAGAGAAGTATATGGGTTTATAGGCCATAGGGTTATACTGGTTAATTGATTGGATTTAATCTTCTAGTGTAGTTTCGACCATGTGCAAAACAGCCCAGTTTGGGCCCACGGTATCACTCAGTTGTCAACCTGTGGTATTGGTGGAAGCGTTATGCTGTGCACCATGGATAGGCAATCGAAACTGATTTTTATTTTTAAAGTCGGACACGCGTTTAAAAAAAAAAAAACGACGCGGTTTTTGCAACCGTGTGCACCATGGTTGCACGGCATAGTTTGCCGGTATTGGTGGCATCATTACAACCTAGCTGAGTGACCCATTTAGGAGTCAAAGTCGCAACCTTGAAGTGATTATAAGGTAAATAAACTGTAGCAATTGTTAAATGCACCAATTTAAGCACACCTGCTAGCTAGTTCTCTTCTAACTGGAGTGGAGACCTGATCTGCCAAGTTATTTGACTGGAGATTCTCTCTCCACTTCGACCAATGTAACCAGTATTGTCTATACAAATCTTTTTCAATCAAGGATCTGGAGAATCTAAACTCGAGCCTACAGATAAACCCCTTCAGCATAGAAAAGAAAACGAGAGTCAAGTACAAGTTCAAAAGTTTAAAGGAAAACCTGTACCAAAGTTGCATTAAATTTTTAATATTGACCTAACCTCATCTCACTAGCCCTCATACCTATAGTCCCAAGATACCATTAATTAGAACCAGCTCAAGAATCCAATTTAGAAAGTGTTTGACCATATGCACAGACAGGGCAATACTATTAAGAAACTACTGTCTCTTCCTATGAGAAGTACCAAGAATTAATTACAATTCTATAAAACAAACAAATAATCGTAAAAATGTGAATCTTAACACTACTAACATCCCAGTTCCCACTTGAGTTTCTTGATCACTCCGGATAAGATTAACAACCATCACAAATTTGATACAGAAATAGAAACAGAAACAGAAACAGAAACAAATTTTCTTTGAAATAGCAACAAGGTTTCATCCATTTCAGCATCCATTGTTCAATAGTAAAACAAATACTACTCACACAGAAATAAAATAAAAAAAATAAAAAAAATAAAAAATAAAAACTATGTTTACCTCGGAATAATCAAGGGAGAGAGCTCTGCAGCTGTTCTAGATGTGATCAACTACTGTATTCTTCTATATAAATACACCACTTTGTGCGAGTGCGTTCACAGTAGCAATTTGGGGAAGAAGACAGGCGGAGGCGCAGAAAAAAACGGACTTTTTGTTTGCTGTTCAGATCACAACGACTCCACAAAATAATTTGAATTCTCCGGTTGTTTTCCAGCGACTACAGACCTCTTATAATCACACGCCGCCGCCTTTAGAGAAGCAATAATGTTTAGGCATGATCCCACCGGCCAATGCAGAGTGGGATTGGTCATATGGCACTGCGATGGAAGCCAGCCAAACTATGGTGGAGTAAAGGAAGGGGGGAAATAGCATCTTTGACTGTTGTTCTCGGCACCCCCAAACTCTATTTTGTAGCATTAGCACTATGCATATTTTGCAACGAGTTTTACGTACCTACCTCAAAATTCTACTCAGTTGTTTCTACTTCTTGGTAGTGTAACAAATAATGATTAGTTATTTTTAAATGGATCCATTATGCAACATCACCTCTTGTTTCAATCTCTACTCCATATTAATTACAATATCAGCTCTTGTTGCAATCTCTACTCCTTATTTAATAATAATTGCAACATCACCTCTTATTGCAATCTCTACTGCTTCATCTTTTTATTTTGGTTCAAGTGTCATCCGGCACCACGAACTATAAGCGATTATTCACCCCGCACCCTGAACTTTTATAAGTGCTGATTCGGTACACAAACCAATTTTTTTTTTTCATCTAGCATTTTTAACAGGTTGCATTCAGGTAGCCTTTATAAGTTGCTGATGTGGAGGTGCTTAGGCGATGACGTGGTATAATTATTTGAGGTGGCAGCCATTTCATCAATTGGTTCAAATAACCCCTAAATTGAAAATAGAAATCAAATCCTAAATTGAAAATAGAAATCAAATCCTAAATTGAATTTGCTTATAATCGGACAACTATTTCACCTCAACCGTAAGAGTATACGACGAACGAAAAGTCGACTACCAGAAGAGTAAACCCAGTCAGAATTCCCCAAAATCCGACGACTAGACGGCATCCCTACATCTCAGAGGAGTGGACGACGAGCAAAAAGAACACTGGGCGACATCAACTTTCACCCTCTGCAGTAGACGAGTAAGGTATTTAAATTTAAATATGTATATGTAGATTGTAGAACAATGCAAATGCTCCTAGTGTAGGGATTTCTTATGAAAGCATCATCCACTTTCACCCTCTGCACAGTGTAATATTTGAACAATGTATATGCGAATGGTGAGTAAGGTGGGGTACACTATGCTTTGAATATGATGGGTGTGGTCCTAATACACTGTGTTTTTGCTTTTATTTTGTATTGATTATGATATAGTGGGGTTCTGGTGTACTGCATTTTTGTTTGAATATGCTTGTATAAAGTGTGGTCCTGCAGTAGCTTTGTGTATAAATGTGCATTGAATTTCTGATAGTAGCTTTGTGCTTTGTGTTTATTTATTTTTATTTTTTTTCGTGTCAGGATGAATAAACGAGTGGAATTAATTATTCATCATGGTGGTAATTTTGTGCAAAAACCTAGGTTCAAGTATTTGAATGGTGAGACACAAGTAGTGGATGTGGACCCTGACTTAATATGTTATCCCCACTTAATGAAGTATATAGCAGACCAAAAATATGGAAAAATAGTCTCACTGACATATAAGTTAACCAATGAACCCTTTACAGCTTTAAAACTACTTCATAATGATGTTAGTACTCTCCACTTAGCTCAGATTGCTAGGGAGAATAAAAGGTGTGAGATTTATATTGAACATGGGGTAGATGACCCTGATGTGGTTGCTTTATCATTACCTGGGTGGAGTGCAGTTCAAGCTGAGGGTGAGGAGGCAGAATTAGGGGGTGAGGAGGCAGAATTATAGGGGGAGGAAGATGGGAGTGAAGGTGAGGCAGATCCAAGACTTGGTAGTGACTACTACAATGAGGAGGGGACTGATTTAAGCAGTGGTAGTGAGCAGATTAATTGTGGCAATGAGCAGATTACTAATAAGGGGGACAAGAGGAAAAGGAAAATCAGAGTAGATGATGCACCAATACCACCTTATGTGCCAACACATGAAAATTAGAGTAGTGATGAGGCAGATTCTGTGTATTATGATTCAGAAGATCCACCAACAGTTGAAGAAGATCTAGAAAATGAGGAAGGGAATGAAGTACAATCAAAGTACAATGATAAATACCCTAAGTACAACCCTAAATCAGACCCACCATTTATTCAAATAGGTATGTACTTTGATGACAATGTGCAAATCAAGATGGCTATGATTAGTTATGCGGTACGCACAAAGAGGGATCTGTTTTGGAAAAAGAATGGTTTAAAGTATGTTAGGGTTGAGTGTCTTGGAAAGGGTTGTGATTTTCATGTTAGTGCAGAGTGGGAAGAAAGAACAAGGTGTTTTCAGGTGAAAGCAATTACGTTGGAACATAAATGCAATAATCAATTTACCTTAGGGATAGTTAGTCAGAAATGGTTGGAATGGAAATTTGAAGAGAAGGTGAGGCAAAATCCAACTATTGGTTATTCAGAGTTGAGTAGAGACATAAAATTTGAAATGAACTTGAATGTTACTATTAGTATGTGTAGAAGGGCAATAACAGGGATATTGAAGAAGTTGGATATTGGGTATGAGAGTCAGTTCAAAAGACTTAGGGATTATGCTCAAGAGTGCTTGAATTCAAATTTGGGTTCCACAGTGAAGATACAAACAACCAGCACAGTGGAAAACTCACCATTGGTGTTTCAGAGGATATATGTGTGTTTTAATGCCATGAAGAAGGGTTTTGTAGAGGGTTGCAGGAGGTTTATTGGACTAGATGACTGCTTTTTAAAAGGAAAACTGAAGGGTGAAATACTGACTGCTGTGGGAAGAGATGGGAACAATCAAATGTACCCAATTGCTTGGGCTGTAGTAGAGATTGAAAAAAGCTCATCATGGAGATGGTTTCTGAAGCTTTTAAAGACAGATTTGGGAATTCTGGACAACACTCAATGGACCTTAATGAGTGATCAACAGAAGGTAAATCCACTTGAATTGTTTAGTTATTTAAATTGGATAACAGATTACTTATTTAAATATGTTAACAGTTTACAGTTTACAGAAATTATCAAACAAAAGATTGTTATTTAATTAACTTGAATTTGATTATGCAAGGGTTAGCTAATGTCATACAAGAGATATTTCATGGAGTTGAGCACAGAAATTATGCTAGGCATGTCCATGCCAACTGGAGTAAGAATCACAGAGGCAATGTACTGAAGGCTCACTTCTGGCAGATTGCAAAGACACCTATTCAAGCACTACTTGCAGAGAAGTTGAAAGCTTTGGAGAAGGTTGATGCTACAGCACTTCATGATCTTAATAAGTATCCTATGCAGTTTTGGTGCAAAGCATTCTTCAAAGAAGAAGTTAGATGTGACTCGGTGGACAACAATCTTAGTGAGGCATTCAACAAGACATTGTTGAATGCAAGGTCCAAAAATATTATTCCAATGCTAGAAGATATAAGACTTTTTGTGATGAAGAGGGTTGCAAAGAAGAAAGCATTTTCAGAAAGATGGAATGGGAATTATGGGTCATGTGTGATGAAGAAATTGAATGAGAACATACTTGGCAGTGCTGATTGGGAGGTTATCTACAATGGAGCTGATGGATATGAGGTTAAAAAATGAAGATTCCAATTCAAGATCAATTTAGAGTTGAAGACATGTTCTTGTAGACTATGGCAGTTGACTGGTTTGCCATGTTCTCATTCCATTTGTGCTATATTTCACAAGGGGCATCAGCCAGATCAGTACATTTATCAATGGTACAGTAAGGACATGTACTTGAAGACTTATGAGCATGCAATAGAGCCAATGAATGGAGAAATGTTTTGGCCAAGAACTGAAAGAGATGAGATACATGCCCCAGTGCCAAGGAAGATGACTGGTAGGCCCAAGAAAAAAAGAAAGCTTGAAGATGATGAAAAGAACAAGGACAAAAACAAATTGAGTTTAGAGGTTAGAAAGCTATCAAAGAAAGGAAGAATAATGACCTGTCAACTGTGCAAGGGGAAGGGGCATAACCAGAGATTGTGTCCTACCCAACAAGGACAATCTGGTACTGATACTGCAGTTAGAGGAAGAGGGAGGGCTCCTACTAGTGTTAGAGGAAGAGGAAGGGCTCCTACTGGTGTTAGAGGAAGAGGAAGGGCTCCTACTAGAGCTAGTGGCATAAGAGATGACACTGTTGCTGTTGAAAGTGAAACAAGGATAATATTAACTCAAGAAAGCACTCTTGGGACCTCAGGTAATTAGATTAAGCTAACACTTTATGTATAATGGTTCTAGGACTGTTGGATTATGATAATAAAGTTTTGTATACGTTTTTAGATTGCACACAACATTGAAGACTTAGAAGATGGCTGGATGAAGGGCTACAGTTAAAGACCTTTTGGCAGCACTGGTTGCAGCACTTTTTGGCTACTGAATTTATGAAGCACTGTTTGCAGCTCTTGAACACTTTTTGTGCATGTATATTGGCAGCACTGTTAATGTATTCTAGGAAGTTTGGATATTTAGTTTTGGCTACTGAATTTATGCAATGATGTTTTGGCACTATCTAAGGTTAATGCAAACTGATATTGGCAGTGAAGTTGAATGTGTATTTTGGCAATGTCTTAAGGTTAATGCAAACTGATTTTAGCAATTTTTGTTTAAAGTTTATGCAGTTCTTTGACTCTGTAACAGCTGCAGTTCTGGTTTATGTTGTTTGAAGTTTATGCAGTTCTGAATCTATTTAAGGGGATGGCTGTTGTTTGACTCTGTAACAGCTGCAGTTTGCATGTTGAAAACCTGGAGTGGAGGCATAAGGAGATCACCTAGCTTGGTGGACCTAAAATTTAAACAATGTTGAGTGAGTGGAGGCTTGAATCTGCAAGTTTGATTCAAGTTTGTCCTTAGTGAATTGTGTAATACATCTAGAAAATGATAAAGACTGGAAAACGAATTTAAAATTGGGGCTTCTGTAGCTTGGCTGTGATTTGAATTTGCAGTAATTATTGAGGTCCATAGTGGAAGGACCATGTTCCTAAAATTATGTTCTGGTTGTTGTATGATACATAGTGGAAGGACCATGGTCCTTTTGATGCTGCCTTATATATATTGTTAATTTTTGGCAATGTGTACATGCAGTGGTCATTTTTGTTAACAAAATGCATACTGGAACACTAAACTGCATTCTTCATTCTGCAACACTAAATGCAAAATGCAAAATGAAATCTGAAACTGCAAACTGATCATTTTCATTACAATGTC